GCACCCCTTGCCCAACAGGCTGAGGGATTTCCCCTCTTGCCCTTCAGGGGGATCCCTCTCTCCTCTCCTTTGTCTTTTAACCCTTCAAGAGGTCTAACCCTAGTACTCCTCAAACAAAGAGGCCAGGGTGGCTCCACACTCTGTCTGAAGGTGTGAGAGTGAATAGGTTGGATTGCCCATGTCTATGAGGGTGAAGGGCCCCTTTCCTCTGCTTTCTCACTCTGTCCCCCAAGGTCTGCTCCCAATATGTGGTGTAGTTGGCAACAGCAGCCCAAGCCGGGTGAATCCACACGTTACAGACTCAGCTGGGACCCTTTCCTAATGCTGGTGGAGTCTCAGCAGGCTTATTCTTTCAGACCCTTTCCTTAATTCCTTTGTTTCCATGTATCCAGCTGCCATCTTGATCTACAGGGAAACACATTCCTACAGGTCTCAGTGTTGAGTCCTCCCCTTTTTTTTTTTGACCCAGGTTGGCCACCAGGTGTGTGTCTCTCCCTAGAGCAGGGTACACCCCAGCACAGATTTCTATTGCTATTTGTTGTGACACTCTCCTTGATCGCATGCCCCCAGTAAAGTCGGGTGCCCCACATAAGGACATAAGGCCCAGTCCTTCTTCAGGACAGTGCACACCCTGACTGAAATCTCGACCACAAGTCACAGCCTCATTCCCCTTGGTGGGACAACCCTTTGGGAATCAGCAGCAGATCTTTCCCAGTATGGGACAAAGTCCTCTATTCCTATACTCGCCTTTGGGCTGTATTTTTAAAAACTGGATAAAACATGAACCCCAAGACCTGAGAAAAATCATCTCATCTTTCATGTCATGTGTCCTGGCCTCATACAAACTCCCAGATCAAGACATATGGCCCCACTACGCAACTTGAAGTCTTTTGCCAGAACTCCTCCAAATGCTCACAGGTCCCATACATGCAAGCCTTCATATTCATGGCACTGTCCCCAAATCCCAACCTCTACAAAAACTGCAGAATGTGTCTTCCTCAGACACATGGCCCATCTGACCCTTCAGACATTCTAGATGACCTCTCTTTTATTCCACCCATTGGCTTTCCCCTGCCTCTACAGGAACAGGGGCTCTACTGGACTTAAATGGCCAACTTTAGATTTTTCCCATAGGTATCCCAGGTTAAAAAAAAAAAAAAAA